TGTAGAGATGAGGTCTCGCTGCCCAGGCGGGTCTCGAACCCGCGGGCTCAGGCAATCCACTCACCTCAGCCTCCCAAAGCGTGGGATTACAGGCTGAGCCACTGAGCCCGGCCTTTGTCCACTTTTTAATGGAGTTAAATTTGTTTTGAAGGAGGAAAGAGGGGAAGGGCAGTGGACACTGATGGTGGGATGTGACCTTTCATTTGAGTTCCTTGTAGATCCTGAATGTTAGGCATTTGTCAGATGCATTGCTTGCAAATATTTTTTCCTATTCTGTGGGTTGTCTCTTTACTCTCTTCATGGTTTCTTTGCAGCAAAATAGCTTTTTAGCTTGGTAAAGTTCAACTTGTCAATTCTCAGTTTTGTTGCATTTGCTTTTGAGAATTTGACCATGAATTCATTGCCTATTCCGATGTCCAGGAGTGTGTTCCTTAAGTTTTCTTCTAAGATTCTTATAGCTTAAGGTTTCACATTTAAGTCCTTGATCCATGTTGAGTTAATTTTTATACCTGGTGATAGGTAGTGGTCCAGTTTAATTTTTCTGCACGTGGTTAGCCGGTTTTCTGAACATTATTTGCTAAATATGTTTTCTTTTCCCCAGTGTTTGTTTTTGTTGGCTTTGTCGGAAATGAGTTGATTGAAGGTCCATAGTTTTGTTTCCAGATTCCCTGTCCTGGTCTATTGTTCTATGTGTCTATTTTTGTACCAGTACCATGCTGTTTTGGCTAATGTAGCCTTGTAGCAAATTTGGAAGTCTGGAAGAATAATGTTTCCAGGTTTGTTCCTTTTGCTGAGGGTTGTTTTAGCTATTTAGGCTCTTTTTGCTTCCATATGAATTTCTGTATTGTCTTTTTTAGGTCTGTGAAAAATAATACTGGTAATTTGATAGGGATTGTGTTGAATCTGTAGATTGCCTTGGATAGCATGGATTTCTTGACGATATTGATGCTTCTTTTTTTTTTTTGAGTTGGAGTCTCTCTCTGTTACCCAGACTGGAGTGCAGTGGCCGCTCCCAGCCACCGCAGCCTCGACCTGCTGGGCTCCGGGGATCCTTCCCCCTCAGCCTTCCAAGTAGCCAGAACTACAGGTGTGCACCACCACACTCGGTCAATTTTTGATTTATTGTAGAGACAAGGTCTCGCCAAGTTGCCCGGGTAGGTCTCGAACCCACGGGCTCAGGCAGTCCTCTCGCCTCAGCCTCCCAAAGTGCTGGGATGACAGGCTGAGCCACTGAGCCCGGCTGATGCTTGTTTTTTTTAAAAAAATTATTATTTACTTATTTTTTTAATTATAAAGATGTGGGGTGCAATTCAGGGTTAGGTATACAAACGTTGTTTATGCAGGTACTCTTGTTGATGAGGTATGCCCCTCCCTTCCCTAGCAGTTTCCCTCAACTGCCAATCCCACCTCCCCTCCCCTGACAGTTGCTTCTAATCCATGAGCATGAGATGTTCCTCCATCTGTTTGTGTTGTTCTTGATTTCTTTGAGCAGTGTTTGGTAGTTCTCATTGCAAATTCTTTCACCTCTTTAGTAAATGGATGCCAAGGTATTTGCATATGTGTGGTTATTGTGAATGGGATTGTGTGTTGTTTTTTTTAAAATTTGTTTCTCAGCCTGATTGTTATTGGTGTGTTGAAATGCAACTATTTTTTGAATATTAATTTGGTATCTTGAGAGACTTTACTGAAGTTGTTTATCAGTGCAAGGAGGTTTTTGACAGACTATCTAGGGTTTTCTAGGTATAAAATCATATAATCTGCAAAGGGGAATAATTTAGCTTCCTCTTCTCCTGTTTGAATATCCTTGCCAGATTGCTCTGGCTAGGTCTTCTAGTCCTATGTTGAATAGGAGGGGTGAGAATGGGCATCCTTGACTGTTCCAGTTCTTAGGAGGTATGCTTCCAACTTCTGCCTGTTAAACATGATGTTGGCTGCAGGTTTTTCATAGATAACTCTTATTTCTTTGCCTAGGTGCTTGAGAGTTTTTAAATCAAGAATGGATGTTGGATTTTATTGAATGTTTTTTCTGCATCTAATGCAATAATCATGTGGTTCTTGGTTTCACACCTTTTTATGTGATGGATTATGTTTATTGATTTGCATATGTGAACCAGCCTTGCATTTTGGGAAGGAAACTCACCTTCCCAGGGTTTAGCAGCCATGGGACCACCACGGGGAACCCAGGGGCTTGGGATCTTCAGGCTTCGTGTGGCATCTGTTAGTGCCTCTGTCTCTATTTAGGGCAGCTCTCTGTGCCCAGCTGGTGTGGGTGGGGTGTGAGAGATATTCCTGGGCTGTTCCTCTTTGGCTGAGACTCCAGAGACTCCAGTGAGGTGTGTAGAGAAGAACAGCTGTCATTTTCACTCATGCCTCCAGTCTTTAGTGGTACTCTTCCACTTTTATGTCGGGTTGCCTCTAGGGGTGTCAGGGCTTAGAACCTGAGTTACATTTTATTATTCTTATTTGGTAGGAACTGAAACTCAGACAAGTCACATTCAGATTCAGGACTATCAGACTTCATATTAGACTGCACACCACCTTCAAGAGGAGCCAGGCCTGTTCTATCACTGAATGCTCAAGGATGTTTCTCATGTGGAAATTTGTGCATTAAATGGGGTACAAATTAGTTAGTTGTGGTAAGGTATACAAACCTGAGGTGTGTAGAAAGTAGATAACATACAGATTTTCCCAAAATGCTTTAACTCTCGGCCTCTGAAAAAAATCTGAAGGTATAGTTTGGAGCATTTAATGCTCCATAGATTTTTGAGAAAATAAACTCTAAGCAAAACAAGCCTCTTGAGTCAGTTCTGTAAGAAAATGAAATTGTCTTGAACTTCATGTTATACTGTAAAGAATAATTTAGTCTTAAAGGCAACCTTTTGGATTTACCGTGAAAATTACTATTCTCCCCATTGGAAGATGAGATGTATTACGTGTTTAAAAATCTCTCAATATTGGAGTAAATACAGACAAATTCAAATTGGACTAAAGAAAGACAAAGTGATAAATTAGTGGTGAATTGGCAAACAAAAAATTCAACAAAACTAATTGTGTTTTAGCCATTGCAATTAGACATATTTAAAAATTGAAGACCATTTTGTATTTTCAAAAGTCATTATAACTACAATGATTGATTTCTCGAAATAACTCCAAGGAGAAAAGATTTCATGCTTTGTCTTAAACAAGTCAAAAGAAAAAAAAAGTACTTAAAAATGCTTGAAACCATGCAGCTCTGTATAGGATTAAAATGAATTGTCAGCCATAAAATAAATCTATTGATCTATCTCTGCTATCTTCTTTACCCTTCTTATTTTATTTTTTTAAACAAAGCACTATAATAAAAGCTCAATAAAGCCAGAGATATTTGTCCACTTTTCTTATTACCCCTAATGCCTAGAACAGTCTTTTTCTGTATTAGACATTCAGTGAATATGGAAAGAATACATGAATGAAGAAGCAAAATCGATAATCCAGAAATGATCACCAAACATATCCACCTCATGAATTTAACTTAAAAATGGAGGGAAATGCTATTGTTTCTTATCTTTTAGATACACAAAGATGAAGACAGCAACCAACATTTATATATTTAACCTGGCTTTGGCAGATGCTTTAGTTACTACAACCATGCCCTTCCAGAGCACGGTCTATCTGATGAATTCCTGGCCTTTTGGAGATGTGCTGTGCAAGATAGTCATTTCTATTGATTACTACAACATGTTTACCAGCATCTTCACCTTGACCATGATGAGTGTGGACCGCTACATCGCTGTGTGTCACCCCGTGAAGGCTTTGGACTTCCGCACGCCCTTGAAGGCAAAGGTTATCAATATCTGTATTTGGCTCCTGTCATCATCTGTTGGCATATCTGCAATAGTGCTTGGAGGCACTAAAGTCAGGGAAGGTAAGAGCAGTCATTTTTATCCCATTTATAGAAGTGTAACTTCTCACTGTACAAACTTTTAATTTGGAAGTGAGTAGGTCACACATCTAGTGGAAAAATCCCAAAGACAGTGGAAATATTGTGCCTAAGTCCATGGAAGATGAGAAGTAAAATGATTTGTGTTCCTTTCCATTTTTAAAAAAACACAGAATGGGGCACTGGCATTACTAGAGCGCACATGCTCAAACTCTCTCCTATTCTGGAAGTGCATAACGGATTCTAGAGGGGTGAGGATGAAGTAAGAAACACAAGGATTTGGATTTCGAAAATACAATCTGGCAATTCTAAGACATAAGTTCTCACTCCTTTTCTGTCTCGCTAACAAAGGACCCAAATCATTAGAGACATACGTTGGCTTTTTCCTCTTCTCTCCTTAAAGGATAATTTCCACATCACTATCTTAACAGCTTCATTTGGCTATAGGTCACTCAAAATCAGGCTCATAGAAAATTACAGATGAGCAAAACCATTAGATTTTGGACCTGTACATTTTTACCCCATGCAAACAGGATAATCGGTGTTTCCCCTGAATTTCTAGGACAGTGGTTCTCTGGACTGTACACTGGAATCACTTTGGTACTTTAGAAAGTCCTTCTGTCTGGACCCTACCCCTGAAGGGTCTGGTTTAATTGCCCTGGGGTACAGTCTTGTGTCAAGATTATTAAGATCTCCCTAGACGACTCTGACCTGCAGCCAGGATGTGAGGTACTATTCCAGGAGTTTTTCTTTACTAGTAGAATATAAGGCTGTGGGAAATATTTTAGTTCTTAAGAGAAATTTACTGGAGAGGAAGCATCAGATCAATCACCTTTGATCTTACAAATGCTATTTAATGCTCCAGAAGGTGTCTAAAATCTCCAGTCTATTAAGGCGGTTAGTGATACCTGTGCATACAGATAATTGAATGTATAGTGAAGACTTTTCTGGCCACACTGAAAAGACATACACTAAACTCATAGCTGATCTTGCACGGTACAAGGTGTTTTGTTTTGTTTGTTTTTAGATTTAAATTTTTTTAGGTTTTAGCTTACAGTTTTAGATTCATAGCAAAATTGAGCAGAAAATACAGGAGAGTTTCCATTTACCCCCTTCCCTGACACATGCTGATCTTTTTCCATTATCAAAGTCCCCCACACAGTGGTCCATTTGTTACAACCGGTGATTCCACATTGGCACAATATTGTCACCCAGAGTCCATAGTTTGCATTAGGGTTCGCTCTTTGGGTTGTAAATTCTTTGGGTTTGGAGTGACATGTATTTGTAGTGACATGTATTTACTGGTTTTTAAAAATGAAGCATATTTTTCTTTCCTCTGAAACCATAGTATGAATTTCTACTATAGCCACAGCAGATGTCAAGCTATAATATTTTGTAAACTTTTAAAGCAATACCCAGCTTTCTCTCTCAGATAAACATTTAAAAAACACGATGGCTTACACACAGGATTTTGTTTATTCATGTCTACAACAAATAGAAATAAGGTGCAAGAAACTCTTCTGAAGTTTAGGTGTTTGTGTGTGACAACTCGATTTCAAGAGGATATACTACGTGCACACTACAAGGTGAGAAGAATGAGCTAAAAAATAAAACAGGAAAGATGATTTTTCAGGACAAATAAAGAGCTGATTTTTATATTTCGTGTTATACTTGTAGACTTAACCACGACATTCCTTCTAATCATTGTCAGAAAATGACATCCTAGAAGAAGTGGATTTCCATTAGGCTTTTGAATGAGGAAATGAAGATGGATGTGGTTTTTCCAGGAAGAATCTGCTGCAGATGTGTGCAAATGCAGTAGAAAAGATCCAACAATGTCAGCAGAAGGTTAATTTGTGCAGTCAAAGAGGAGAAAATGAGAGAAGATGACAGTAGTTTCATGGGAGAACTCTGTTCTTCCCTTGTGTTGTTCTTTATTTGCAAAAGCCGATTTTGTTTATGAAAGGTTGTGTTGTTGTCTAGTACTTTTGGAGTGTTGGACCACACCGCATGTTAAGCTTGGATTATCAAGAGGAGTATCTTAGTCTTTACACACTGAATGACATTGCTGGTTCATTGTCTCTTGTTTGTGGAGAATGCTCACTGAAAGGAACTGGGCATCATTGCATTCAAACACATCCACCTGGACTAACCCCATTTCAGCTAATGCTTCTGAGTATACAGTATTTCTTTCTGGTTCAGAGCACAGATTCTGGGAGTGAACTGCTTAAGATTGGATACTAATTTCACCACTGACAGGCAGTGTCAGTGCCTAATTTCCTCTTCTGCCAAATAGGGGTAAGCATAGTATCTACCTCCTTGAGGTAGATCTAATGAGTTGGTGCTTGGAAGGCTGGTAAAACAGTGCCTGGTGTGTTGCAAACACTTCATAAATGCCTGCCAGTGGTTTTAACAGCTCCTTCCTTGATACTCGTGTTATATCAACATCTACTGGTCGATATTGAGGGCTAATATATGAAGCAATATTTTCATTTTATGGACAAAAAATGCTGAAGCTAGTATTTTTACATACTATAGTATATGTGTGTGCATTATTTATTTTGAGAATTCTTAGTCTGCCTCTGATTATTTTGATAGTAGCTAAGAATTACAATAGCCACAAGCAGAAACAGTTACTCTTAACAAAATGAATACCCACAAGAAAAGCCTTAGTTTATGTATTAGAACTAACTTTAAATTACAACAGCCCTTAGATGTCGGAACATGTGGCAGTGGAAGTTGTGGTCTTCTGATATTAATATCAAAGGAAAAGAAAGACTACTTTTTGAACTGAGGCAATTGTATGGATAATTCAACCAGAAGTGACCCCTTTTATTCCCAAAACAGAACATATAATAAAAATAGCACCCTTGGACTGGAATTTCTTGATGACTGCCTCAGCGCACTCCTTTCTGCAGTATAAATTCAGCATCGTTGACATTTCTGGAGGATGTTTGTTTCCCCAAGTCTTGTAAAAGCAGTTCTTGTTGATTATTCTATCCATTTATCAAGATTTTATTGAGCTCCTACTACATGCAAGACAATTTATTCAAGAGGAAGCTGATCTTCAGAGTTCAAAGGTATATCAAGATTAAACATCAGTCCTAGTGTTGCCTTTGCTTAGCTTAGCAGGTGACTCCTTCATCATACTTATTGTAATTAGTACATATTTTCAAGGGCTCAATATCCATGTGGCGTTCTTTTATTTAACAATTTATTCTCTTTATGCACCCCGTATTCCAGGTACCACCTAGGTGCCAGGGCTTAATGTTGAATAAGGCATGCTGGGTCCCTCTCCTAAGACAGTTCATATTTTGGATGGAGACAAAAGCATTAGGAAGGTAACACATAATTACATATCAGAAGAGCTTCTGTCTAGGAAATAAATGGGTGAGTATGCCATGTAGAAAGTATATAAGTTGCAAGGTAGAGGGCTATTTAAGAAAGAGACTTCCATCTAAATGTCTCTGAAGTGGCATTTAAGCTAGGCTAACCACAAGAAAGAGCTAATGCTGAAACACAAAAGTGGAGCAGGAAACGAAACAAAACAAAATCATGTTCCCTATATCCAAGGGAGCTATGTTCTACCAGAATAAAAACAACAGACAGATAAAAAGCCAGAATACAATACTTCTATTAAACTAGATTTTTTTATAATGTGCAACTCATCAAAAGTTGCTTAATCAATACTTTATTTTCTGTGATAATTGTGATTTTTAAGTTATTTACCATAAACACCAAAGCAAATGTTAAAATATATGCTTGTAAGCTTGTCATAGTAATAATACTTTGTTACAATGACTTTTTAGAGAACAGAAATGACACTAACTCTGGAAGCTTTCACTTACCATTCCAAGGTTCAATCTGGTATTTAATTAATAAAATTAAGGTTTCTAAGATAGTCATCTTTGCTAATTGTTCAAAATGATTATATCCTTTATATTTCAAAGTACGTATAATTGAAATTTGAATAAGATTCATTTTGTTTTACTAAGGGATATTTGATGAAGAGCACATTTTAATGTTTTAGAAAACATTATTAGCAGAACTGTTTCACGGTTTAAAAATATCCTCGTGCTATTTTCGAAGCAGATTTTTCTAATGTCAGACGAAAATATTTTCATTACAATAATTACACCCATGGTGTTACTCATGACTACTTTATCTGTGAAGAAGAAATAGAGCAAAGAGAGTTCTGCTCTGTGCTGGCTGACTGCTCAGAAACAGGAGGAGAAAGTGTAGGCTGGTTGACGCTTTGGGAAGGGAAAGCCTGGAGCCCCACCCCCCACCACCCTGTCCCCCGGGTCCTCCCCCCATGTGAAAGTAGTTTAAAAGGGGTTGATCCTGGGTCCCTGCTCTTTCTAGTATTTCGATAACTCCAAAGAGAACACCACCAAGCAAAGACAATCAGGGCAAATAATGAAGTTTTCCACGTTGTCATAGAAAAATATTTACTTTTTCTGAATTACATAATAATGTTGGTAAAAATGGGGGGGAATGCCTGATTTACTTAGGATTCTCCTGGAAATGATGAGTCTCATCCTCCTCTTCCAAAAGTTTCACTCATGTTGCAGCAATGCCTTTAATCACAACGAACACCACTGGTTCCATTAAATCAAAATACCTGGGTCATAGTCGGCAAATTTCGTATCAGTTTTTATTGAGCCATTTAATGATTGCTTGTGAACGAGTTAGTGCTTTTCAGGCAAGTCGGCTTTTGTTAAATTCATGGTTAAATCTGAAATATTTAGCCATTTATTACAAATTAAATGTTAGCTTTTATTGTTAGAACCTTAGGTCTGGGAGAGCTGTTAACAAATGGAAATACCAATAATTACCCACACTGTACATGAACAGTTTAGCTCTTCCGGAAGCCATCAATGCCAAACCATCAGTGATACTGCTAATCTTATTCATTCGCTAATCTTATTAGTTCTACTGTCTCATGTGTGCTACCAATCAACAGTGCCTTTCTAGTGTCATCGTTCTGCACACAAAGACAGGATGGTCAAGAAAATATGGCATTCATTTGTAATTTGGCAATCCACTTCAGCTGATATCATCTCACCATAACTAGACCCTTGCAGAGGTATTAAAATGTGTGTTAAAAAGAAAAACACGTGTGCAGCCATGGCTGTAGCAATGACAGCTTTTCCTTTTGTGGTTTTGTTTGCTGCCTCTAGACGGGGACGTTATCGAGTGCTCCTTGCAATTCCCGGATGATGACTACTCCTGGTGGGACCTTTTCATGAAGATCTGTGTCTTCGTCTTTGCCTTCGTGATCCCCGTCCTCATCATTGTCGTCTGCTACACCCTGATGATCCTGCGTCTCAAGAGCGTCCGGCTGCTCTCTGGCTCCCGGGAGAAGGATCGCAACCTCCGCCGGATCACCCGGCTTGTCCTGGTGGTGGTGGCGGTCTTCATTGTCTGCTGGACCCCCATTCACATTTTCATCCTCGTGGAGGCTCTGGGGAGCACCTCCCACAGCACCGCTGCCCTCTCCAGCTACTACTTCTGCATCGCCTTGGGTTACACCAACAGCAGCCTGAACCCCATCCTCTATGCCTTCCTGGATGAAAACTTCAAGCGGTGTTTTAGGGACTTCTGCTTTCCAATTAAGATGAGGATGGAACGACAGAGCACTAGCAGAGTCAGAAATACAGTTCAGGATCCTGCATACATGAGAGATGTCGATGGCATGAACAAACCTGTATGACTAGTCGTGGAGATGTCTTCTTGCAGTTCTGCGGGAAGAGAAGAGTTCAATGATCTAGGTGTGACTCAGATAACCACCGGAGTCTGAGAGGACAAGACAGAATTGTTAACACCCTTTTAGAGGTCTGGTGGTCTGGAGTCATAAGATACAGACTGCATTCGTGATCCAGGCCAGTAAAAAGGTCAAGGCTGTGGTGATGGAGGACAAAAGGTTCAAGCAACAAATGCTACTCTTCTCTAGGACACAGAAGCAAGGCTGACTCCCAGCTCCTCTGATAAACAAGGCGACAGGTCTTTTTCTTCTGGTGACCTAGATTTAGTATGACGCCCATCTGCTTTGGCCTTCCTATGCAACGTGGTTTCAAAACCTCTATTTACGAGAAAAGAAAAAAGACCAAAAAAAATATTGGTTTCAGAGCTCTGTGAGCATCCAATCCAGATGTTTAACAATGACAGCAACAACCTCAAAAGAATAAGAACTGTTTCCAGGGTTCATGCCCAGCTCACCTTGTGCTGGGTGGACACACAATTCATGTATGGTGTGGGTATGGCTTGGATCCATACCTGAGATGTCTGATGTTCATTTATAGTAGAACATTATCTTGATATTTATGAAATTATTTAAACATAGAAATGGTGATTTCTAACTTAGTTGAACTTCTTGAAAACTATGGTTATTTGGGTTTTTTTCTTAGCATGCTATTCAGGTAAACAATAAAGCATGTCCTGATGTCAAGAAGAAAAGTGGTTTGAATACCACCAAAAGTATATGTAGTTTCATCTGTAAATAACAGTACATGTGAAAATAAGGAATGGGTTTGTCTTCCAGAAGGAGATTTCTGAGGACTCCCTAATGATAGCCCCTGAGTTATTAAGAGTTGATGCTGAGATGTCTTGCTGGGAATTAGTCTCTCTCAGACTCCCCCAAACACCATTTAGTCCTTTAACAGTGCTCATAACTCATGTGTTAATGAATCACAAAACCTGTAATTCACTCCCAGGATGTAGCCTCTGCAGAATCTAGCTTATTTGTAGCATCTCTTTATGCATATGTAGCTATTACTAGATTCTTTGTCCAAGGAGAAGAAGGTATTTTGCTTATTTTACTCTCATCATGTTTGTCTCTATTTTGGATTATTATTCTAGCTTATTATGACACAGATGACTTACGGCATGAGGGAAGGGATTTTTTTTGTAATGAAAATGAATGCTCTTTTGAATATTTCTTAAATTTCAAAATACTATTTTGTGACTTTCAGCAAGAAGTAGAAGTATTCCTAAATGTGTGCTAAATGAGGACGTTATGTCCTTTGTGGTGCCTGGTGCCTGGACATACCTTGTATAGCGTTCTGTGAAGGGCATACCTGCTGAGGATAATGCCATGAACAGCATATTTAGGGTAATTTTGCTAAAACTTCCAGGTGATATAAAGTTTCTCTTTTCCCACACGGAAACTTGTAGTTTCAGAGGTAATGTCTTGTTCTGTAATTTGCCTGGGAAGAAAATGGGATAATTTAGAAATAACACTCATCTCTAGACTATATCTTATTATGGTAACACCCACTAGAATTTAATAGAAAAATCAAATGTATAGACCCATATAACTACACACATCACTACATCTGTATGTTCTGTTCACCATGCACTTTCTAGTGTATATACTTTCTTCCTTTGGAAAGTTTAGATTTTGGCTTCAGAATTATACTCTCATCATGTTTGTCTCTATTCTAGATTGTTATTATTATAAATTATTATGATACAGATGATTTATGACATAATGGAAAGATTTCTTTTTCTAATGAAAATAAAGTACTCTTTTGGGTATTTCTTAAATTTCATCGAAACTTTTAGGTGTCTCATAGTCTCACAACTAAATGTATATAGGAATGGTTTAAATGTTGGTGTATACTGACCTCATGGCTAAACATCTTGGCTAGGGGCAGAAAGGATATTCATATAAAGAGTAGTTCCAGAAACAAACATTATATAGGAAATATAAAAACTTCTTTATGAAGCAGCAAAACCCAGGAGATTTTCTTGGTCAGTTCTTAACCAGTGCAAAATATAACAGAGTCATGTTCTCTCATTTAAAATGAGCACTCCACAGGCTCTCTCATTGCATTAATTGCCATTATTGGAGCCTGAACTTTCGTCTGACTTTCTTTCATATGTAAGCTTGCAGCCAAAGGAGAGAGAGAAGGAGCTGTATGTGCCCAAGAGGGTATTCCAGACTTCTCTATTTTTGTTGACAGAGACTTCCCCAAACTGACAAAGGAGAGAAGATGGGAATGTCTTTTTAGGGCATTGCTTTAAAGGAATTAGAAAGTGAATAACATGGCAGTAGAAACACCACTTATGCAAATGTATTTCTGTTTCAAAGTGTGTCCTGCTGTGATACAGTGATCATATTGCCAGTCTTTCATCATTCCAGACAATGCATTTGTCCAAGCCCCGCTGCCAATCAGATGTCTCCCATCTCTTGAAGTTACTGTTCTCAGACCTCAGCAAGAAGGATAGTGTCTACTGTGTTTCTCTGAGACCAGAACAGCGTGTGTCTAACCTTGAGATCGACTCTCTGTGGATTCTTATCTTCCCACGCTGGTAGAATTTGGAAGACGGGACCAAGTGAGTGGTCAGAGAAGATGCTAAGAAATGAATCAACTATACAGGAAGCAGCAATGAGGAAGAAACCAGTAGCTCTAACTGGAAGGAGGGTGAAACATTCTGAGTGTCTCATACTACTCACGAATCTGAGAATGTTCCTTAGAGTTTAAGTCAAAATTCTAGGCTTAGTATTAAGACGGAGGCAACTTTTCGAGAAAAAAAAAAAATCAGGAAATATTCACATAGTTTAAGATAATGTTTCCAGTCTGTGATACGTTACAAGAAATAAAAGTTCTTAAGCTTGTACCACTATTATCAGATAATTTATAGATGTTCCTTCTAGTACTAGGATACAGTAAGATTAATAATTGGAATAAAGGGAATACATTGACTGACTTTAAATGGAAGCATTTTAAAGAGAATACTGTGATAGGTTGTATGTCCTTTCAGTGAGAATTATTTTCTAACTTAGAGTTGTTTGATGATTCAGCACAAATAGAAATCCCATCCAAAAAGTGCATAAACCTGTTCTTCCAAGTCAATATCTTCTCTGAAACAAAATTATGTTAATATATCCTATACTATAATGTATGCTATTTGTATATTGTACTTTAAAAGATGATAATTATGCATTGTATATATGATTGTGTGCCTTGCAATAAAATCCAAATTGTACCTGCTAAAAATCACAGCAATCAATTATTGTGGTAAATCATTTATTCTATAATAACTTTAATGATCCTGCACTTCAGCAAGAAGAATGTTAAGTGTTTCCTACTAAAGGGATGTTCTGACTTTCCATCCATGAAAATGTTATAAATGATTAATGGAAAGAAACAAGATATGTAAAAATCTAGACTATGATCTTAAATTCACAGGTTTGTGAATTGCTTAGGATAATTCACCTGTTTTCATAGTAATGTTGTCAGGATTCCAGAATCAGTGTTACATACTGCCCTCCCAATGAAAATCTACTTTTTCACCATGAAAAACACACAGAATTCAAAGTCAAACTGTCCCACCAATAAAAGCATAAAGAAATCTAACTGCTAGAAACACAAACGGCCTTCTGCCCTGCTCCCAATATAACATAACTGCATCACTGCCAGGAATGATCTGTCTCTACATCCCATGGTATATTACATACAAAAAACAACTTAAAAATTGGTATCTTGACAAAAGAAAGATTTTTGTAAATAAAGGCAAAACTTAAGCAAGGTACTTATCTTACAAATTGGGCAGAATACATTAGTAGGCCCTATTCTCATTTTAAGACTGGACAAATTTTTATTAGTTTATTTTTAATTGATAACTCAATTTTTTTTTTCACCTTTAAATTCTTAATTTTAAATGGTGGGGTACAATTCAGGGTTAGGTATACAAATATTCATTGTGCAGCTACCCTTGTTGATGAGGTATGCACCCCTTCCCCAGTTTCCGACTACTACCACCCCACCTCCCCACCACCCTACGCCTCCGCTGTTTCCCGCTACTGTCAATCTTTTCTTATAGTATTACGATAGTTGTTCAAGGTCCACTTATGAGTGAGAATATGTGATACTCAGGTATTGGTTTCTGTGAAAGATCACTCAGTATTATAGACTCTAAGTCCACGCAAGTTGCTGTGAAGTTCATGATTTTGTTTTTCTTTATGGCTGCATAATATTCCATTGTTTATATGTATCACTTTTTTTTTTTTAACCAGTCCTCTCTTGATGGGCAGCATGGTTAGTTCCATGTTCTTGCTTTTGTGAGCAATGCTGTGATAAACGTGTGTGCAGGTATCTTTTTAATAGAGTGATTTGTGTTCTTCCAGGTATATTCCCAGTAGGAGGATTGCGGGGTCATGTGGAAAGTTGATTTTTAGAACTTTTAGGAATCGCTACACTGTTTTTCACAGAGGCTGTACTGGTTTACACACCCACCAACATATAGAAGTGTTCCCTTTTCACCACATCCTCTCCAGCATCTGTTATTTTTTGAGTTATT